GTACAGGTACAAATTCCCAATGGTGAATGTGATCATGCTGTATACCTAAAATCTACCAATAAACTTCATTAAAAAATTAAAAATTAATGTGATGGTCTTGAGTCCAACTGTCAATGAGTTCTTATTTCCAGCTGAAATCTTCTGAACCCTGTCTTTACCATCTTCATTTCTATGAACATTACGGTCTTCAGAGATAGGACCAGAGTTCTCACCAAGCCTGGCTTACAGGTTTCCAGGGCTTCTCTAGAGGATATCTCAAACCCTTCCAAACTTGCAAACCAGTTCCAAAGACCTCTAAAACCACATGGTTAGATAGTTGTAGCAATAACCAGTACCAAAATCTGTCTTAGTAACTTTTCTGATCACTGAGACATGACACCAATCATCCACAACTTAAAGGAGGAGAGGTTCCTGTTGGCTCACATTTTCAGTGGTAGGGTGGCCTTGAGGCAGAAAGAGATAGGGGAAGAGCCCACCATGGAGAAAAGCTGTTCATGTCATGGAGGCCAAGAAGCAGAGAAGAAGAGAGAGAGAGAGAGAGAGAGAGAGAGAGAGAGAGAGAGAGAGAAGGGAGGAGCCAAGGAGGCAGATAAATTCATGTATAACCATTCCACATATTTGAGTGAATTAGTACCACTCGTTTAATATTTGACATTTATAGATCATGTTTCAGAGACATTGTGTCACTTTGACCCTTGATAAAACTCTGAAAGAAATGGAGATTATTATTGTTGTTGAGGAAAAAATAAAGGTAAGGTTTGTAGCATTTCAGAGACATGCTCAGAGTTATGCAACTAATTAAGAGTAGAGAGAGCACCCGTGACTGTGCGAATAAAATATTGAACTGTGATATATTTATCTGCTGCTATGCATAGGGACTTTTTATTTTTATTTTATTATTATTTGGGGAGGGGGTTGAGACGGTCTCCTTGTGTAGTTGAGACTGACGTGGAACTCACTATGCAGCCCAGGCTGGTCTTGAACACATAGCGATCCTCCTGCCTCAGCCTCCCAAGTGCTGGGATTACAGGCATGCGTCACCACACTCGGCTATGCATAGGGACTTTTTAGCCAAGAGAAACTAACAGCAGAAATTTTGTCATCTCATAAATTTCCATAATAATTCCAGAACTTCATTGTAAACTAAATTGTAAAATACCAGATGGAGTCTTATTATACACTTGCCATATTAAGACATGGAGTCCTTAGAAAGTGTTATTAATTGTTTAATCTGTTGTGATTGTTTCATCAATGATGTAATGATTATGGCCTTAATAACACTCCATGGCGACAGGATGGAAGGAAAGCTTTTATAGCAGTTCAGACAGCAGAGAGACAAAAGCTGATGCAAAGAGAAGCCTTTCATGGAAAAGGAATCGCCCTGGGTTCTGCGTCCTCTCTGCGTCACCCTGGCATGAAGGAATGCCACCCTTCAAATATTTGTGCTCCCTTCTAAAAGGAACACTTTCCATTTTTAAATAACAGTGTCTGCATAACTTAGCACTTATTATTACTCTGAAAATTCGGGGGCTCCAATAACCAAATATGTTAATATCATATACATTTACTGTTTGTCCTAAAATTTCCAGGTTCTCCAATATGATCTGTCTTAGCTAGCAACCTGTAGGCATAGTTCATCACTATGCTGATGCCTAACAATTTCACATATTACTGAATACTGAATAAAATATAATTCTTCAGAAGGTAAGGGAGGGCTGGGGATTTAGCTCAGTGGTTCCAGTGCCTGCCTTGCAGGCACAAGGACTTGAGTTCATTGCCTGGTACAGAAAAAAAGAAAAAGGTAAGAGAGATAGAGATGAAATATCTAAGCAAAAGGGGATGATGTTAGTCTTTTGCTTTAGATTATTTACTCACCAGCCTTATGCCCAAGAAGTTACTTAACCTCTTCTATAACCTCAAATTTCTTCTGCATATAGAGAAGACAATAGAATGTGTTTCATGTATTTCTATAATTATTAATACTCAACGAGATAATATATATTTGAAAGATATAAGACTAAATTTTCCTTTATTTTTGTATTTAAAAAGTAATGTATGTCACTGGTTTAAAAAAAAGGAAAAGTACAAAGATGGAAAGCAAACAAATAAATAATAAAGGATCAGAATAAGAATCTAATAGCTTAGTGTAAATTATATAGAATCACTATTAACTAGTACCAATTATAATAAGGATGAGATAACTATTCATAAATCAATTATTTGCCTTTCTAGTTTAGTCTATTAAACAAAAGATCAAACAACTGGATTTCAAATGCCCATTTTTCAATTTAATTTTTATATATTATTTCCAGAAGGCAGTTACAAATATTTTTTTAAAACTAGAATATCACTCTGGGCTTTATCGAAGGGAATGTGGAATAATACTCAAGTATCAAAGATAATATTTAACAACTGATATTTTCAGTCAAAGTTAATTAAAATTAAAATTTTACAAAACATTTATACACAAACAGTTTAGTTCCAAATGTCCATGAATTTATATGATAAACAGAAGAAAGTACTACTTATAAACAAGTTAGAATTCTGATCTTATAGTTATGTTGGCTTTATTCTTTACAATAATGTTAGGCATAATGAAATTATTTTGTTTGAACAAATTAGAGTAACAATGGCTAAAAAAAAGGATTTTACTGATGGTGATTTCCATTGTTTTTACATTCTTCTGATTAAACATTTCCATGACTCCCAGTGAACCTTGGGCTTCTTTTTATGAATATAAAATACATACACACATATATACACCTATGACATCATGTAATGACTCATTGCATAAAATAATTATGTCTGTAATAATCTGTGCCTTTGTGCTTTGCTTATCTCTTATAATAAACTAATGTACAGGTTCATACATCAAAGACAGGACACAAGTATATCTCTTTTAACAACTGTATAATATTCCTTATAAGAATACTCGATAATATATTTTACAATTTTTTGTCAATCATCAAATTTAATATTTCATGTTTTTTGCTACAACATTACAGAATGATCATTTTAGTAGATCTCTCTAGCTGAAAAAAATCTCAAGATGCAGAATTCCCAAGTTTCCTAATAAGTGTAAGGTTTTATATATTTCCCGTTGAATTTTTATTTAAAATTTTCATAGATACAAATAAATTTCCCTCTATGGCAATCAACCCCATATTCATACCAAATAATTAAATCTTTCTACTCTAGGTAGAAAATATTTCACTTTCTTGAGTTTGCATTTTATAATTATGAGGTTGAGTACTTCTGTACATATTTAAAAGTCTTTAATGTTTAATTTTTCATTTATCTAACTAGCTGACCAATATTTTAGATTGTTAGTCCTTTGTCTTTCCTTTTTCCAAACTCTTTTATATTAAGAAAAACATGAGCACTTCTTTTGTATGTATTGTACAGATATTTTTTCTACAGTTTAGTTTTGTTTCTTTCTATGCATCAATTTTAAATAATTATATAGTACTTACATATATTTTTCTATATGGTTTATGTATTTATGGGTCTTAGTATGATCAAACTCCTCCTCACAGGGTAACTTTTTTATTTTAAAATGCTTAAAGATAATTTGCTCTCTGAAGCCGAATAAACCACTTGTTTAAACATTGCTTGTGCAATGAGCATGGGAACAGAAGTATTTTCTACATGAATTTCAAAGGATAAACCACTGCTTCACCTATACCCTAAAGCTTTGCTTTGTAATTAGTGCAATCAGAATTTAAAGATTTCTGAATTTTGAAGTGAAAACAAGTAATTTCTCTGTACTTGATCTTTTCTCTGCTGTTCAGCCCACAGTAATTTTAACTAGAGGGGTAGAGATTGAACTAGTTTTTCCCTCAGATACCTCTTCCCAAGCAATATGTCAGAGCTCTTTTGATGAAATCTTAACTTCCTGTCTTGAATCTCCACTCAATGGTCCCCTAACTTTGACAAGATTATTTGAAAAATGGTGATGATAATTTACTTAAGTGCAGCAGATTTAGAAAGTGCACTTAAGTTTAATAATTGTGTTTTTATCAACCTATCTTTGTCACCAGAACTTACACTTCTCACAGGCAGAGACTTCATCTTAATCATCACTGAGAGCTCAGAATAAATCATGATGCCGAAATGAAGTGACTCCATGGGTAATGTAAAGACAGAGTGAAAGAATTAATATCTGGACAAGCTTGAGGGTTATAGTCTCATCCTTCTCACTGATGTAGTATATGATCTTATATAAGTTTCTCCATGGTTTGGGGCCACAATTTTCTCTTCAATAAAACTGAAGGTTTGGCAGAAAGCATAGTAAGATAATACATTTAATAGCAGTTGGAAACAATGTTTTCAGAAAATGGGCACAATCCTATCACTATGATTTAATAAGCAATGATTATTTTTCAAGAAATAGAATATTGGAAATTTTACTGGTAAGGTTAGATGAGTACAAGTGCAAAACAGAAGTCAAATAAAATAATTTTCACTGAGGAATTACATTGGGTAATAAAGTATTTTTACATTGTCTTTATTATCCCCGTCACTAATATTATGAAAAAGGCTTAGGGTAACCAGGACAAGAACTGCTATCGACTATAAAAGTCACATATTCAGTTTTATACTTTCTCCCATAATTTTGTCCTTTCATTGCTTTATGAATTTTTACAATCTTTCCAGAAACTTCTGGATGCTTTGGAAAGTTTCATGCATAATTTTGGTTTATTTAGTTCAGCTCATCAGGATTATGCTCTGTTTATTGATTGAAGGGATAAGTAGAAAGATGCTAGATAAATAGTCATATCTATACATGGGCACAATCATAATGTTATTGAACTTTGCTAGCTTGAAAGCTCCTTTTGAATCCTCCATTTAAAGTATTTTCCTTTTATGCAGGGAATTGTACAGTAAACATGCAAAAGAAGGAGCATTTTTGGGTAAAAGTGATTCAAAGGAAAGAAGCCTGATGCATTTTACAGCAATGTTTATATTGTATTTGTTAATTGTATTCTATCTCCTTACAGGTTTAAATGCTTATTTGGCTACTTGTCTACTGAATACAAAATGAATAATTCAACAAACTCCTCCAATAATAGCCTGGCTATTACCAGCCCTTATAAGACTTTTGAAGTAGTATTTATTGTCCTTGTGGCTGGATCCCTCAGTCTGGTAACTATTATTGGGAACATCCTGGTCATGGTTTCCATTAAAGTCAATCGCCACCTGCAGACTGTCAACAATTACTTTTTATTCAGCTTGGCCTGTGCTGACCTCATCATAGGTGTTTTCTCCATGAACCTATACACCCTCTACACTGTGATTGGCTACTGGCCTCTGGGACCTGTAGTGTGTGACCTTTGGTTAGCTTTGGACTATGTGGTCAGCAACGCCTCAGTCATGAACCTGCTCATCATCAGCTTTGACAGATACTTCTGTGTCACGAAGCCTTTGACCTACCCAGTTAAGCGGACCACGAAAATGGCAGGCATGATGATTGCAGCTGCCTGGGTCCTCTCCTTCATCCTCTGGGCACCGGCCATTCTCTTCTGGCAGTTCATAGTAGGGGTGAGAACTGTGAAGGATGGGGAATGCTACATTCAGTTCTTCTCCAATGCTGCTGCCACCTTTGGCACTGCCATCGCAGCCTTCTACTTGCCAGTAATCATCATGACTGTGCTGTACTGGCATATATCCCGAGCCAGCAAGAGCAGGATAAAGAAGGAAAAGAAGGAGCCTGTGGCCAATCAAGATCCAGTGTCTCCAAGTCTGGTGCAAGGAAGAATAGTGAAGCCAAACAACAACAACATGCCCAGCAGTGACGGAGGCCTGGAGCACAACAAAATCCAGAATGGCAAGGCCGTCAGAGGTGCTGTCACAGAAAACTGTGTGCAGGGGGAGGAGAAAGAGAGCTCCAATGACTCCACTTCAGTCAGTGCTGTGGCCTCCAATATGAGAGATGACGAAATAACCCAGGACGAGAATACAATATCCACTTCCCTAGGCCATTCCAAAGATGAGAGTTCCAAGCAAACATGCATCAAAATTGTCACCAAGACGCAAAAAGGTGACTCATGCACACCGAGTCATACCACTGTAGAGCTAGTTGGGTCTTCAGGTCAGGATGGAGATGAAAAACAGAACATCGTAGCCCGCAAGATTGTGAAGATGACTAAGCAACCTGCAAAAAAGAAGCCTCCTCCTTCCCGGGAAAAGAAAGTAACCAGAACAATCTTGGCTATTCTGTTGGCTTTCATCATCACCTGGGCTCCGTACAATGTCATGGTGCTCATTAACACCTTCTGTGCACCCTGCATCCCTAATACAGTGTGGACAATTGGTTACTGGCTCTGTTATATCAACAGCACTATCAACCCTGCCTGCTATGCACTTTGCAATGCCACCTTCAAGAAGACATTTAAACACCTCCTTATGTGTCATTACAAGAACATAGGAGCTACAAGGTAAAGGCGTCTGGAAAAGAAGGAAAGGTGGTCAAAGGGAGCTTGAGAAGAACACAAAGGATGAAAGAGCCCCCACATTTAATATCTCTGCCATTGCACTTTATAGTCTATTATGGAATGTGCAATTAAGGAGCTCAACTGTGACACTCAGCTCGTGCTCGTGTTTCAGTCTGAAAAACCTTGTCCCTTATCAACCCATCCAGTTAGGAGCAAGGGGACAATGAGACACGTTGGCATGGCTGATTTAAGGAGTAATCTCTGCCGTCTCGTATTTTCTTGAGAAGGGCTTCTGAATCTACGGTTTTACCAGTCTCTGCACAAGAAGAATAATGTTGATCTCTTTTTGTTTCTCTTTGTTGTTGTTCTCATGGGTCTGTCCATGCATAAGGATGAAACGGCACAGCTCCACGCTGACATGGACACTCGAACATAAAGAAGTGGACACTACTTAGTGGAGACATGAGGAGAGCAATTAAAAGAAGGCAGCCATGGTCTCCAGAGTATTGAGCGTGTTCTGTTCTTGTTGGATGGTATTATTTGCAGGATTGTACTGTAATTGATCCTGATTTTTTTCACCTTTTCCTCTTCCCACCATAAAAAGCAAGCAAAAACACAGAACTCCATGTAGGTCACACCATTTTTTTCTTGTTACTGCATTGATTTTTGTACCTTCCTGCTCTACATTGTGTGTAGGTAAAATCTGTGAAATTTTCAGTAAATCCAGTGAGAGCCAGCCATGCATTGGGGCACTTCAGCCATCTCTACTATATCCTTGGTATTTTTGGGGGTTATAAATGCCCACTAGCATTTAGTTCACCTCTTGTTTTTTGTGTAGAATTTTTTCACCAACATTTCCCCCTAAAGTATCCTTTATTTTAACAGAATAGTCTACTTGAAACATAAATATGCTTGAGAAACAAAGGCATTCCAAAATTAATTTCATCAGTTAAAAAATGTTCAATCTAGTTGAAGAAAGTTCACTGGGGCCAGATGGATTTTGAGATGAGCAAATAGACAGTGAAAAGGTCATTATGCTTGACCTGGAGCCTCCCTGACCTGTGTATGAAATGTTAACTTGTGTAACATGAACTCCTGACTTCGCAGGCAGGAAGAAGATGTTGCTTTATCCATTTGGAATCTTAAACAAGATTAGTTTACTGAGGCAGTCCCAAGAGACTCAGACATTCTGTCCAATGCCTGCTAATGGATGATATTTGAATTATATTCAAGGATGGCTATAATCACTCTGTGAATAGTGAAAGGGGAAAATGTAATACACAAGCATTTACTGAAACTATATATTCCATGTTCCTCAAATTGTCAATTCTCTTTAAGATCATTTACCCTCAAAATTCTCCAATCTGTAGAATTATAGCAATCTTTGTGATAGAAATATAGTGGCTATAGATGCCAAACAAGCTCAGAGAATATAACAGAAAGATGTAAATGGCCCTTCTTACATTCCTTCTCACCTTCTAATTCTAGTCCATGAAAACCCCATGTCAGAGAGTATTATTTAAGTGGCAGCATTATATAAAATAGTGTCTGTGTTGAAACTTTTTATTTAATAGTCAAAATAAATATGCTTTTATTGATTCCCATTTAACTTTATTTTATCTTATATCCTTTTTTGTATTATTCACTCTTGTCTTCCAGTCATATTTTCTAAAAATGGCCTAACTGATAGAAATTAAATTTATAAATGCCTTTTCAAATTTTATATTCTGCTTTGTAATACCTTGCCCAGTAATAATGATATGAGCTACATGAAGAATGTCAGTATTAAGCCTCATAACTTATTAACACTCTTTTATATTACTTATGTCATTACTGGCATCTCAAAAATTTGAAGAGTTTAAAAAAATAAGCCCAAGAGAAATTAAAAAAAAACACTGTAAATAAGAAACCAATTGCCAACAATATTTGAATATGTTCTTTATAAAAATAACTTCATGTTCAAGTAACTTCACTTGTTTCTCCCCAAAATCTCTATGTGTATACTTACAGCAGTTCATTAAATCCCTTTAGTCCACAATTATACCACTGTATATGTTTACATTTTAAATCCATATTTTTTGTTCTTTCAAATCAACCAATGAATTGATCAGAAAAAACATCAAGCCAATGTGAACAACAAAAAACAAAAAAAAAATAGCCTACTGTTTCAGTTTTTAAACATGTTATGTTATTTGATACAGATTTAACTTCACTTGGGATAAACCTTTTGGAGCTCAAGATTCAGGTCTGGAGGTCAGATTTTGTTTGCTCTCCCAGCCAGGTCATCAAGAGCCCACCTGTCTCACTCTCATTGGCTCTTCAACCTTCCCTTTCTTCTATTAGTTCTTGATATGTGCCCAAGCTATAACTTCATTGGAAAAGGAGCTGTTACATTCAAGAAAAAAAATCAAAGACAAATGATACCATGGAAATCTTTCCAATGAGAATCAGAAAATAGGAAAAGTGATTAAAGATAAGTGGAGTAATAGAGATTATAGTCAAGGACTTGCATTAACTCTTGCTAGTTTTGCTTATTGCAGTGATGGTCAGTCAGGGGCAATTTCCCTTCCAGGAGACACTATCAATATGTAGAGACATTTTCGACTGTGGAGAATAGGAGGAAGCATTGGTATCCAGTGTGTAGAAGCCAAGTGTATTGCTGTGGCTACCGAGCAGACTACGACATTCAGGATAGACTCCACACTCTTTCCAAACAAAAACTGGTTGTCTCAAAGTATCAATAATGTCAAGGCTAAGACACTCTCATTTTTGTTACATTTCTAAAGTTTATATCCTGTAAGTGAGAAAATAATCTTAGACTAGTTTTAGAAGATCAGTGATAACTGCTTACTGTTGGAAAAAAAAAAGTAATACTCACCAATCATGTATCAGAAATTCCCCTTCTGGTATAATTAAAATGCACAGAGTGAGAACCGGGCCACAACTATATACTGAAACTCACCAGACCATCCACATTATTTCCAGCATTTTAGTGTCTAATCATAATCACCACAAAGTTAATCAAGAGATTGCAGCAGTTATTCGGCAAAATGTTTGCAGTTGATATGGTCAGTTTCATTGGAACTGCCATTTTTCCTTTCAACACAATGAAACACCCCTTTAAAAACAATGATTCATCACTTTTGTTTTTTCTTGAAACATCAGTATCTGTCCAGTATTTATTTCTTCTCTACTCACAGCAATAATATAAATACAGCACAGTGGTCTTGTAAGAAGATAAATTTAAGTATATGGAGAGAGCCAATTCATTTCTTAATAAAATAAATGATTGTCCTTTTGCCAATCCACCATCAATTTATTGTCAGATCCCAAGTATTAGGTCTAAGTCACCAAAATAATAAATCACCAGGGACAAGATCTCTGGTTTTCCTTGTGGCAGCTGGAGGTCCCACACACTCCTGCTTTTTGTCCACTCATTGCTTTGCAGTTTAGAAAAGATGATATTGGGAGAGATAGAAGTTCAAATCGATGGCAACAGTTATTTAGCAATTAAGTCTACTTTTATTTTCTTCTACTGAGTTCATTGACCGTTACTTCCTCCCCACCAGTTTGATAATAACCCTTTCAACCACCATCGCATTGGTATTCAAATAGATTAGGAAAGCACCCACAGCTGGATGAACTTGTGCAAAGTATATTTTTAGCATGTATATACAATACCACGCCTCTTCAATATGCTTCTGTGAAAGGGGTGCACGCTGTAGCATGAACTGTGTGCATATTAATGTATCTTTCTGGAATATGCTGTATGCTTAATATATATATATATATATTCTATAAATAATATAATAAAATGTACAATAGAAATACATATTTCTGTATGCAAATAAATATATTATGCACAAAATCTTACTATGAAGTGTGGTATATATTGCTTCACAGTAATAACGGTAGATTTCATGTGCCCCAGTTTCCCCAAAGGTAGTATTTGCATTTGAAGGAAGAGATTTAAGAAGAGCCAAAGTCCTCTATTGAACTGCTTCATAATCATGGAGAGCCTGACACTGGTTTCAAATATCTCCTGGAGAAGTAAATTAATAAATTGTGCTGGCATCACCCCACATGCTAACCATGCTTTCTTTCTTCTGTGCCCTGACGGGCCTGTGACGAGCAGCTTCACAGCCGGTGTGGGTCCAACAGCTGTGTTGATCTCCTGTCTGATTGCCTGATGAGGCTGTGACCAACCCGATCTCACACGGTTTCACTCTTTTTCAAATTGACTGATTTTAGTGAAACGAAAAATAATCAGACTGGGAAAAAAAGACGACCTTCAGAATGTTTTTCATCTGACAAATGAGGTAAAAACTCTTCGAGCCCTGTATCACATAGACCACTCTTTCAATTTGGGTCCAATACAGAGTCCCATATATCAAATGCTGAAATATTAAAGGAAGTATAAAGTGCAAGTTTCCTCGTGAAATTACAAAATAGTCTGTTTCTAAATGTTCTTCCTTGTCCTCATAGTGATCCTCCCTCTTTCTTCATTGTCCACACAACTAGCCACCTTCCTTAGAGCACTGTCTTTGACCCAATTAGCACAAATTCATGATTATAAATTGCTGCTTTCACGCCTTCCCAGGAGATGCCTGCATTTTAACAGGAAAATTGTAAACTGTCAACCTGTGAAAGTTATTGTTACAATCCTTAGACACCAAACCATGCAATGGTAAAGATATTTTTCAATTAATTCTAGTTTTATGTATATTTTATGGCATATAATAGCCATATTGATAAATGTACTTGAAGCACCATCAGCACATCAGAATTAAAAGATAAATATAGCAGTGGCTTAAATTCTATATGTATCTATAATATACCCACTATGAAAATATTCTAAATGTACCTCTTCCATGACCACTGCATCTTATATTTTATACCGCGAATGCACTTGCTCTCTTCATATGAATTAACTATTATATTATTTTGTTGTTTAGAATAGCTGTCAAGGAAACACCATTTGCATTGAAGCATAATTCTCAGCCTGTTCTTACACAGAGGCACATACAATCACATGCATTCAGGCACATAAACCCAAATGCGCATGTGCAAGTGCATGCAAAAATGCACATACACGCACACAGAAGTACTTACATACACGTCTCACGATTTACACCGTGACAGTATCCAGCTCTCTACTACTTTCAGAAACATTTGGAATTTTCTAGAGTTCAGTGAATGGTGTTAAAGAAAAAGTTCGACTCTCTCCTGTTTGTGTTATAAGCAGTTTACTGTAGAAAAGTAAGGGTTAGTGTTTTTTTAATTCATTAAGTTTATTAACACATTTCACATATACAATACAATGACATTCCTCATTGGGAATTTGTACCTTTATAAGATATATCTTGATTTTTATTTTTCCCCACTCCCCTGCCCTCTTTTCCATCCCTCCACTCCTCCCTATTTACAAAGATTTTCTTTCTTTTCCTCTCCCTCCCACTTCCCCTTCCCCTTTAACTTGCTTGTATTTTCAATACTTATTTGAATACTCTTTTTTGGGCTAAATTCTTTATTAGTGGTATTTTCAAGGTAAGATTATAAATATTTTAAAAAGCAAACATAAAATAACTGTTTTCCTCAGGCTTGCTTTTAAATTTTGTGGTAGTTCATATTGCTACTGCAGGCAGTAAAAATAGCTTTCAAAAATAACAATAAACTACTGATAAGGAAAAATACCAAGAAAAAAAGTCATATAGCAAAAGCACAACTTGAATTTAAAAATGTAATTCAGTGTTCGTGATGGTCTGCATATGTCATTATCTCTGAAGAGCGTGGCCCTGTTTTCCTCGGGGTGTCTTGGCCACTCCACAGTCAGCCTTGGCCTACGGTTGCCCTATGAAAAGTCCACTTAAACAAGGCCTTGCACAATTATCGGTTAGGCACTTGTCATAATTAACTACTGGTACAAAATCAAGAATCTAGAGCCCAACAAGCACATTGCTGAACACAGATTGTGCATGTGAGAAACTCCAGTCGATCATAAGGTTGGGAGGACTGAGGGGTGATAATATTATTGAAAATTTTAACATAATCTAAAGGAAACTAGTTTCTATTTAATGTGTATAGACCTACTAAGCAAATTTTAATAAATATGTAGCATTCCTTGGCCATGTAAATGTGAACTATATTATGTAACTAACAATTTTGGATTACAAGGTTATACTAGCTATCATGAATCTTAAAACTCTTAAGACAAAGGAACCTGGATTCTCTCTTATTTGCTTGATTAAAAATAAGACATTTTCATTAGAGAGGGGCACACACATAATATGGAATCCTAGTCTTTTAAAACTCCTATATGATAGTTATTTAAATTAATTGAATGTGAATTCCCATCACACAGTGACTATTTAATAAATGAAAAATGCAGGAGTAATTTTAAAATGTATATTCTTGAAGTCATGCTTTACATACTTTAAGTTGTCTAAGGATTATTTTTTTTTATTTTAATTTTTATTTTTGGTACCAGGGATTGAACTCAGGTCTTTGCTCTTGCGAGGCAGGTGCCAGAACCACTGATCTAAATCCCCGGCCCTAAAGATAATTTTTGATAGCATAGTTAAAGACAATTCAATAGTTATAAATTGAATTGGATATAAACATTTTAACTAAATTTTATATATTTATACAAATTTGTAGAATTATATGCACATTATATATTTTATGGATACAAGAAAGAGAACAGATTTAAAGGGATGCAAATAAGAATTTAATAGAAAATTGTTCACAAAATCAAGGAATGAACTATGTATCAATGGGAAATATTCAACACAGCAAAGGAGGGTTGGCCTGGGTGTGACAGTGCCCATATGCAGAGACATTCCAGCTTCCAGATTTAGTGCTGAGGAAACAGTGATGCTAAATTCCAGGAAGAGTTGAAAAATAACAATTACATGCCATGTCCACAGATGTGCTTCTCTTAAACTATCCTCCTAGATGAAGCATTATTATCATCAGAAAGCACAACAAATCAAACAAAATGTCTTTCTTGTTTCCAGCAAATCATCATCATGTTTAGAACACAACTGTGAACATCTTAGAGATCAGTGTGGATATCCCTGGGTCCTCTGTAGGAAACAAAGCCAATCAGGGCTGGTAAAGTACAACTTCAACACAAGTAAGTGGGCACTGTGACTGCCCTTGAAGATTTTCATTTACTTTCTCTAGCAAACAGAGATTTCTCCAGGCTATTCTTTCTATCCTTGGCCCTACACTTCTAAAACTCCCAAAGTGCTGGATAAAAGGAGGACAGGCTTGCTGATGTTCTAAAGAAGTACTTGGTTGGACAAGTATTTAGGGAGACATTCCATTTTTGTATTAATTTCCCAATGAATTCACATTGGGACAGAGATGTGAAATTCTTTTCCTTTTTCCAAGAAAGGAAAGGAAATCTAAAATCCTCAGAAACTAAGATGAAATATTCTCAAGAATATGTAGATCAAGACCATGATGACTAGAATTGGAGCTGATCATGTTCTTGCCAATGATGCAGCTTCCTGGGAAGCTCTCATATGATGTCCTCATGTACTCAAGTGAATGGCAAAGTCAGACCTTTTGATTTGGGGATTAGTCAAACCCAAATTTATCATCTAGTCACACCTCTTTCCCTCACCCTCTTCCTTGCCCTCTCCCCTCTCTCTCTCTCTCTCTCTCTCTCTCTCTCTCTGTCATATATATATATATTTGCAAATCATAAAGACTGAGCTTCAGCCTCCCCAGCAGAGGACAGTTCAACTTCCTTGGTTCTTCATCCTCAGCACCATCCCATCTCATCCTCTCCCAATGGGACTTCATCCACAGACTCAGATTTTATTATCATCTGACATGAGACAAGACATAAATATCAAATTGCACCACTAGACCCATCTTCCCCATTGCATACCAGACCAGACTTTTATATGTTATTGTCCAACTACCAAAGCAGCCTTCTTAGACACTTCACATATACCTCAAATCACCACATCTCAAATCATAATCTCAATACCACCCACAAATTGATTCTATTCTATTGGGTCCTAGCCTTTCATTCATTCCAGCAGCACAAACTGCAAAGAAAAAAGCATTGTCCTTAATTTCACCTCAATTGTAGGTTAAGTCCTTCCATTTTTAATTTATGAATAACAGTCTGTCAAATTTATCTATCAACTTTTCCCATTTTCAAATGTAAGGTGCAAATGACCTTACTGACCTTGCTACATCAACTGCAACCCTATTCCATCTGGCTTTTACCTTGCAGACAGAGCAATCCTCAGAAAGACAATTTAAACACACTACATGCCTTCTTTGAATATGTTGATAATGCCCTGTTTTGACACAGTTCAGACCCATTAATCTGGTTTATAAACCCTGCAAGCACTTAGCCACTCCCCTGTCTATCCCCCTTCTTGCCTCACTGTGACATTGCAACAACTCATATTTGTCCTCATTGTACCCTCTCTGCCAGAAAACCTTTACTTTGCTCATGCTGATGGTTTGTGTGGAAGGTCTCCTCACCCCTAATTACCTGGTTGATTCCTAATAATCCTACACTTCTCAGCTCAAGGATGACATAGATTTTCAGGATCATCTGCTTTGACTTCTTGAACTATACCAAATCCCCCACTATAGCTCCTATGGCATTTCTCATGGTACAGTTTTATTTATGTGCATGAGATTATTTGGATAATGTTTTGTCACCCCTCGTAAGCTTTAAAAGTACCAAGGCTTTCCATATTTGTCTGCCTGAGACATGGAAGACACTTACTTATAGTGGGTCACTTACACATGTTTATAGTTCTTGTACTCTC